AGTCGTGAGTCCTGGGGGTCCGAGTCTATATACTCTATCAGGATTACTGAATTCTTTTTGAAGTTTTACCAAGTGAAAGTGTGAAACTAGATTTTAAAATAGTAAGCAGATGAGGTGAATGCAATTTAACTTCAATGGACCACTCATCATCATCATCATCATTACCACAGTGCCGCAAAGGCTCCCACCTACGGTGGGGTAAGGGGGTCGGATGTACGCAGTCTTATCCTTGTATTAAACCACATAGAGACTGTTTCCGAATGACCCGTAGTGAAAATCGCGTCGAAAATTGCATAGGCTGACCGTTACTTCATAACAAAGAAGCGCAAACAGTTTAGTGAGCCATTTTGCTTATTCCATCATATTCCCAAGCCAAAAAATAGTGAGTCTTTGACTCCATTGAAAATGATGGAGTTTCCAATGGACCACTATTAGACTAATTTATTTGTACTTCATAGTAGGTAGCATGTTTTTATTTGGGTAACATTATCCTAAAAAAGTATGTATGACTAATTAATGATTTAAGAGAGAATTCCCTAAATAGGAGTAAAAAAGTTTTGAAATTCCAAAATAGGAGTATCATGTTTTTTATTCCCTAAATAGGAGTAAATTTCTGCCAAACATGGCATTACTAGGCTTTAAACATGGTATTTTCTTCCAAACTTGGCAGATTACTCCTGTTCAGGGAATAAAAAACATGATACTCCTATTTTGGAATTTCAAAACGTTTTTGCTCCTATTTAGGGCAATTTCTAATGATTTAAGGTTGAAGCGGCAAAGAAATCATCATGCAAGGTGGTGGTTGTGTTTTATCATTTTTTTAGTTTTATGATTATAATACTTACTCCCTCCGTCCCATAAAATAAATCCCATTTTCCTTTTTGGGCCGTCCCAAAAAATTGTTCTCATTTCCTTTTTTGGAAAGTTTTGTGTGGCTAACATTCATTTACCTTTTTCTTACTCAATCACAACCATACATTTCCACTTTATTCCCACTTTCTTAAACTCCGATCCAAATCGAAATGGGACTTATTTTATGGGACAGAGAGAGTACTTGATTTATGGTGAAATATAACTCGTAGTGCGACGACATTATTATTTTCTTCCTAAAATAGAGGTCACAACGTTGGACCTCATCTCACTCAAGGATTTGACATTTATTATACTCTGTAAAAGGTAATTGATATTATAATGGTTTAAGTACAGAGTAAAAAAAAGCTATCCCATATTTGTTACTTTTCTTTCCTATTAAACTTTATTAACTTTGCCGTTTTGTCCCCAAAAGTCAAAGACATCGCTACTTTCTATTTAAAATACCTTTTTAAATTTTTTGTTCTTATTTCTCTTTATTCTCTACGGATTCCAACCACACAATTTTTACTTCTTCACTTCATTTGCCAGTTTAAATTTATTGTAATCTACAATGAGATGAAGGGTGTATATAAATCAAAACAGTGCATACATATACCGTAGTTATACTAATCTGCAAGGGCAGAGCCAGAGGTACATCAAGGTGGTATTGAAATACTTTTGATTTGAAGCATTATGAGTCTTCCTAAAAACTGGCATCATCAAAATTTGAAATGGATAAAGTTTGATTAATAATATTAGTTGTCTTCCTAAATTTTAAAAATAATGTTTTATTCACTCATTAATTATGTGAAATTTAAACTTTATAATATATTACTTATATAGTAAACCAATAATTCACCAGGTTCATTCAATTCAAATATTATATAGACAGTCATGCAGAAATTGAAAAACATGATCACTTTTATGGTTTTAATTAAAATTAAAGTCTGATTTTTATTGTTCAAAAGAACAATCTAAAATATCCAAATCGACAATTTTGCATACAAGCTAAGAGTAGTATTATGAGAAGGATATGTGAAGGAAACATGGGACCTGATTTCCCATTTCCTCCGCACAAAGCAAATATTAGAAATTGCTTCCACGAGTGGCAAGCTTCAACCTTCGGTGTATTTTTTTTAGTTCTAGGTAATTAAGTAAAGAAAGGGCATATAATTGAACTAATCCGTGGCTCCCCATGAGTTCTACCAAAACTCCAATATAGATATTATTATTATTACTATTATTATTACTATTATTATTATTATTGTTATTATTGAAAACGTGTCTATTGTCTAGGCCATTTTACTTTTTTAATTTTTACCATAAAACAGTGTCAAACAATTTTTACCATAATTACACGGGGGTGTAATTTTTTGAGCATCTTCTTTTTTAAACGTGTCACTTTTTTAATTATATAAAACAGTGACAATTTTTTTTTACCTTTTTAGTTCGGCATTACATATTTGCCTTGTACAAAATATAAAGAAGTAAAAATTATGTGATTGATGTTTGATTCAAAGTAATAAAGTGATAGACATAGTATGGATTACAAATTAATTCTCTCCCCAAAGAACGACTTATTGAAGGAGGAGAACATATATTAGGAGGCTAAATGGTCAAATAGGTACATGAACTAACTTAAAATGTTCAATTAGCCCCTTATATAGGAGGTTCTGCTCGGCCGTCGCCAATTGGAGCGGTTCCCAGTGGAATTTTTTGATGAAATTTTTTTAGCATCTTCTTCATTAAGTCTAGTTTACCCATACCAAATGTCAGCTAAAAATGCAACCGGGAAGGCAGTCAAAAGATTTTTTGAAGATAACTGCGCAGTTAAACAGCGCAGTACATTTCGGAAAATCATTTGACAGCCTTCCCGGTTTCATTTTTAGCTGAAATTTGATATGAGTAAACTAGACTTAATGAAAAAGATGATCACAAAATTTCATCAAAAAATTCCGTCGTGAACCGCCCCAATTGGCGACGGTCGGCCAGAACCTTCTGAATAAGGGGCTAATTGAACACTTTAAGTTAGTTCATGTACCTATTTGACCCTTTAGCCTATATTAGGATGTTTTCATTTAGATTGAAATTTGCTGGTCTAGTCTTGTTTGATCTAATCTGATCTGGTTTGATAAATATGTAGTCTTTGGAAGTCTGATCTGGTCTGATCTGCGACCGAAAACAGTTTAAAAGAAAACATTCTTACTACTACTTATATTATAATTTGCATCTATTACTCCCATTGTTCCAGAATAGGTATTTTATGTAGATTAAGAAAAATAGTACTTCCTCCATATTCAAAACTTTGTTATGCTTTCCTATTTGAGAGAGTATTTAAAAATTTGTTGCACTTTTTATTTTTGGTAAGTTTTTTCTTTTAAAAATACTCAATTACTCCTTACTTTTTCTACTTTTTATTTTCTTTACTACTTTTTCACTTCCTCTCCTACTTTTATTCATTACTGTTGGGATATATTATCTCAGCCAACTACTGTTCAAGAGCCCAATGCATTTTCTAGTTTGGAGCCCGATCGGTGAGGCCTATTTTGGCTCATCCGTTTTTGTCAAACGGAAGTTGTTATGATCGGTGATGGACTAAAAAAATCACCATAAATTTTAGGGTTGAAAAACAAAAAAAAATAATTTTGCAGGGATGTAAAACAAAATGTGTTATATTTGCAAAGACTTGAAAGATATTTAAACCTTTATTTTTTGGTCTTATTGGTGCAAACTGATCAGCTTTTAGTCATATATGCATAATTTACTCAATATAAAAAAGTAGACAAAATGTTTTCAAATATGGAAATAAATCGAAAAAGAACATTTGTGGTAAAATACCATAAATGTTTCATATATATATATATATATATATATATATATATATATATATATATATATATATATATATATATATAATACAAGGGAGAATATTTTCATTTGTGTGTATGGTGAGTGCAAAAAAACCCGAGAAACAAAATTTCAAAAAAAAATAGAATGCGACATATGGGTGATACCCTGAAAACATTTGTGTTTATATGCTTTCTCGTATATAAGTATGTACATATTTTTTCAAATAACTTTGTTTAGTATCCAATAATAAGTAATCTACATGTTCAAATTGAGAATTTTTTAGTGCACAATTAACATAAAAAAAGGGAAAAGGTGCAAATAAGCCCTCGAACTAATCGAAAAAGTGCAAATCAAACCTTTTATAGAAGGCTTTGTCTGGCCGTCACCATTTGAAGCGGTTACAGGTGGAATTTTTTGATAATTTTTTTGAAAATCTTCTTCATTAAATCTAGTTTACCCATACCAAATTTCAGGTAAAAATTTAACCATGAAAGCAGTCAAATGATTTTTCTGAAATATAATATTTTGTTTAACTGCGCAGTTATCTTCAAACATTTATTTGACTACCTTCACAATTGAATTTTTAACTGAAATTTGGTATGAGTAAACTAGACTTAATGAAGAAGATGCTCAAAAACTTTCATCAGAAAATTCCACCAAGAAACGCCTCAAATGGCGATGGCCGAACAGAGCCTACTATAAAAGAGGTGATTTGCACTTTTTCAGTTTGGATTTTTTTTTTTTGCTTTCCTAACCCCCCGTCCCCCCCCCCCTCACCCCCACCCTCCCAAACCCCCCCAAACTCATCCTATCCATCAAGCCCAACCCGGGTGGAACCCCAAAAATGAAAAAAAAATTAAAAAAAAAATCAATTTGGCCCGGGCCCGGGCCCGACCCGACCGGGCCAATTCACCAAAATTGAGACCCGAGCCCGGACCCGCCCTACCCCCGGGCCTAGGCCCGACCCGGACCCGAGAACCGGGCCGGTCCCAGCCCCGCACAGTAACGGGCCGGTCCGGTCCACGGGCCGGGCCGGTCCACGGGCCGGGCCGGTCCACGGGCCGGGTGGCCCGACCCGAGTCCAACCATAGGTTAGTTCGAGGGCTTATTTGCCCTTTTTCCCTAAAAAAATCATTAAAACTTTAAAACCAAATAATATTTTCTGTTAAAAATTCTATCAAGATGAATAAATTGGAATCTCTTTTCTTTGAGGGGTGGGAGTTTGGAGGAGGAGCTCAGCCCACATTCTTGCCAAATGCATCTCACCTACTTTTTAGGTGTTCGAGATCTGTGCTCACTAAGCACCACCAACACTAAAATTACTTTGATATGTCTATATATTTAGTGAAAAGTACAGGTGTAAATAACAGCACTCTTAAGAAAAGAAAATTCATTGCGACTAAAAATTAGCATTGAATTGTTACAACTCAGAAATGCTCAGCAGTACATCAAGACGGAACCTTCACTTGCTCAAATAGGAAACACATAGCATCCTTATGCTGGACTGTTGGTAGGACTTTGCATAAGGAAGCAAGTCAAATGGTTTTGCCCTCTCAGTAATGTCTAACACAGACAGATTTGCTTCATCGGCTAAGGTAAGAAAACAATTAAATGTGTCGATATTACGAACCACAGAAGCAATATAAGCAACAGGCAACCTTGGGAGTCCATCCTGCAAATTTGCATCATTCTGCTCATTATTTCGTGTTGATTTACCCAAAGATCCATCATTACTGCTATCTTGGTTAAGAAGAATGGCCAGGACTCGAATAAGGTGTGGCAGACACAATGGATCATAAATAACATCTGCACCCAAACTATACTGATAGACAAAGTTAAGAAACACTTCACGAAAACACAAAATAGTATGGTCAATAGTGAACATGCTCACACTATATCCGGGTTGATCTGTTGAAGACCATTTTCAGCTGCAGATTCCCAGGGCAAATGCAAGCATTGTACCTAAGGATGCAAATTTATCTCAGCCCAGATAGTGTTGCTTACACCAAAATCGAGTTTTACTACTTCCATTCTTTTTTGGTGTCAAATTAGGCTTCTCCAGACATACTAAAAGAGAACGAAATGTTTCTAAGATCAAGATGAATGTAGTTGTATAATATGACTATGTAGCATTCGTTTATGGATGGAAAGTGGTACAACAACAACAACAACAACATTACCCCAATGCCGCAAAGGCTCCTACCTATGGTGGGGTAGGGGGGTCTTATATATGCAAGTAAGCAACCTTACCCCTGTACTAAAGCACAGAAAGACGGTTTTTGGATGATCCATCGAGAAAGTTGCATCGAAAATTTCATGGACTGACTGCTGCTTCATAACAAAGAAGCGCAGACAGTTTAGTGAGTCATTTTGCTTAAGGCCAAACAGTAGTGAGGCTTTGGCTCCATTAGAAATGATGGAAATATGGATGGAAAAGGGTAATGGTGGAAAATGATCCGTTAATGCTCTCTTGGTATCTTAAACCGTCGCTCAGAAAAAAACAACTATTTATCCCAATCTGTATGAATAAGTTTACTCTGAATTTGAAGATCAAATAAAAACGCAAATGCCCTTCTTTTTGTGTAATGCATTATGCATATATCATGTTTGAACTGTGAAAATGATGGTATAATTGAAGTGTATTGGCCTATTAGGTTCTGGGAGACCATATAAGTCAATACTCTTTTGATAAACAATTGTTTTAGCAGTTGGGGAAAGGAGCAATCTTTCCAGACAATAGGGAAGCAAATTGGCTAAAGCTGAACAGAAAATACGCACAATTTATAAGTTTTTTCATTTGCTTGCACAATTGATTGCTTTTGAATGGAGACAAAGACAAAAAGGTTGTAGATATGAAAACGTAGATAGGAAATAAAATTCATAGTCCATATTTGATATCAACTCACTGTATTAGAATCTATTGTATGGTCCAAGAGATGGTTTCTGGCAGTAATTTTGTTAGATTCCAAATTAAGCTTCATGTTTGCTAAAGTTAACAAGTCGCCATCACTGAGTATCACCTGCATCAGGTATTTTATTTGGATTCTCAATTGTAAACTTGATCCTGATAAAATTGAAAATAAAAGATACCGCAAAAGACACAGTAGGCTTGCCTTGGAGGCTTTTACATGGGCTAGACAGATGCCAACTAACCCAACACCTGAACCAACCTGTTATTGTCACTTGTCAGAAGGTAAATAAATGCCCAGCTTGCACCATTTATTTGATCAGAAATCCATTAGAAAAATGATATTTGAACAAATCATTTGTACCAGACATTGAGAAATTGACACTTTTAGCCCCCAAATATGGAGATATAGATCCCTCAGTTACACAAATCACCACAATTGGTCCATAATTGTAAGCATTTGAGTGGAATTAGTCTCCGTAACAGACATGTTCATTTTCACCTAAACATGCTCAAAACTCAATCTTTATAGTGTTATTGTTGTAACTGTACAGAACACTTATTCATAATATAGAAAAACATCGTCAAGCTACAATGAGAACCTCTATTATTGATTGCAAAGTCACGAAAATCTTCTGAGAAAAATCAGATTATAAACATTGGTTTCTCAAATTTCTAGTTTACACCATATTGAAGATAATTCCCCGCCAGAATACTAACTTAGGAACCTAATCAGGTGACACATATAAACGTGGACAGAGCCGATTACTTCTCCACAATGGGAAGACCAAATATACTAATGCCTCACAAAGGCCCAAAAAAATGAAAAGTTGATCAAATAATGTTGTGTGTGTCACTTGTCACGTTCTTCACATCCATTGCTCATTAGCCATTTGTGAATTGGTAGACCCCAGTCCCCACCATGGCATGGAAAAAGTCCAAGTAAAAGAATATTCGGATGATGCTGAGTAAAATAACCATTGACAGAGCAGATTAAGAAAAATAGAGGTAACAAGACTACAAGATACAGATCTACTTCTCACCTCAAAACAAGATTTATTTGCGAATATTTCTGGAAAAGAAAGAATGAACTCTGAAAGGAAAAGACAGGATGGCCAAATTGAACACCTGTTTGAACAAAGTGTTGGGAAAGCCAATTTGATTAGACTGGTACAACTAGCTAGTCACAGATTTACAATAAAATGGAATAAGTATATTACAGCAAGAAAACCAGTCATTTTCCATATCATCCCATTCATTTTAGTTCTCAGAAGCACTTTTGCTATTTTCGACATTCATGAAACCCCCCATCACCCCATATGAGTTGAAAAGGCTCGTCATTGTTTTTATTGGAAGACCAGTCATAAAATGGATTTCAAATCTCAAATGAGAGGTTAGCTAAAATAATTTACATTGTATAGCAATTATCATTTCTGCAGAGCTGCATATATATTTCAACCACCGCAAAATCTAATTCCCTTCATCTAAGTGGACCATAATTGAATTCTTGCAGCAATACATACCCTGTATCTCCTTCAAGCAAGTTGACTGAGCAATGCAGCAAAACTTCTAACTTCCTAGATTTTGGACAACTTGGCAAGTTTGAACAGTCTAAAGATGCAAAAACATAATCAAAATCCATAATCTATGCTTACTTCAGAAATAAATCTATAATAATCACAGAAAAAGAAGTCAAAACAAAACTGCAATAAAACAGTCACCTCTAGGGAAAAGAAAAGAAATCCTTTTTGACAATCTTTCATTCTCTTTTACCGAAACACTGCCCTATTAATAAAAAATATATCAAGTGTAGTAACATTAAATTACTTGCTATTACATTGAACAACAAGCAAGACACGCTAGTTTACCTTCATAGATGTTTGATATACATATTTCTCATATAGCTCATCGATTACAACTTCACCACTTGACTCAATTTCAAAAATAAGCTTCTTCAAAAAACTTCTCAAGTAAGGAGGGTAAGGCTTTACATCCTGTCAATTACAATTTAGAAGCAACACTCCTCTACTAAAGATTAGAGACAACACTCTGAAAAGAAAGTCTAAGTTTCCTATAACGTACAGTTCTATTGATGCAGTGAATCCAAATAAAGTGTTGTAGTCTCTCCGTGATCAAACCTTTGCCGCAATCCCTGACAATAGTTAAACGACACAGCTGAAATAGTGAAATGTGACACGCGTATTGGCTGAAACGCGCAGCTTCGCAGGGAAGGTGCTACCTCGCAAAGGAGATGACTACGTCAGGTGGTTCCATGGAGAGGAAGGCGGAAATGGTATGCAGGCACGGCGGATCGGAAAGCTCTAGCTCCTCAATTGAAGCCTCAGCGGCAGCCATGGCACTATGTGCTCTCAGCTTCTTCAAGTTTTTAGTAGAGGAAAGTAGTGAACAGTACTTCCTCTTCGGGGTAACTGGATAAAAGGGGCTTCACACAAATTAATAAAAAGTGCGGTAATAAAAAGTGGCATGATATTGAATCGATAAAAGAGGTAAGGGTCTAAGTTTTATCCTCAAAGTTGCATAAGAGGGGTTAAATAAGTCCTTATAATGTCCTTACTGTTTGTGGGTCGTCATTTGGGACGGTTCCTAGTGGAGTTTTTTGATAAATTTTTTTGAGCATCTTATTCAGTAAGTCTAGTTTATTCATACCAAATTTCAGATAAAACTTAAATCGGGAAGGCATTCAAATGAAGTCTTGAAGATAACTTCGCAGTTAAAAGCGTGGGGATGGAAAGTTTATCAAAAACTTCCACGTGAAATAATCTCAAAAACTTTACCAAATTTGGTATGAGACAATCTTATTGGGACGACCGATAATGTAAAATGGGACAATCATAGCGGGACGGGGTAGTAGCAAGGAGGAAATGTTTTTAGTTTTTGGGATAAAGTTGTGAGCTTTTAGTGAATTAAAAGATTTTAAAAAGAAAATGTGGTAGCTGTTTGGTAAAAAGGTGGTTGTTTATTTTAGTTCGATTTGGTATACAAGCTGTTAGGAGTTATGATTAATTAATACTAAAAGTCACGGGTTTTTTTCAGATGCTACTCCATGTAGCATCTCAAAAAAGATCTTTTAATTTTTGAAAAACTCTTAAAAATTGTCATGCCAAACATACAACTAGAAACTTTTAGAAACTTTTTGAACAATATAAAAACTAGAAGGCAGAGACTTATGTTTGCCAAAGATAACCACAGATTCTGGAAATTCTATGGTACATGCATTAATTTCTAGGGTACGGTACATTTTCCTATCTAGACAAATAAGGACACATGGACATTTATCCTAATATACGGATACGTACTTACGTTGCGGTCCCTGACCTTACTAACGATTAACGATTTAATTAAGGCACATAGTCACATATGGTTATTTCAGCCGACGAAAGCGGGTAATAGAGCATGGCGATTGGCGAGGCCCAAATTAGATCTTCCATCCGCTCTTCAGGCTTCTTCCTCGACTACTGTCATGATCGGCGCTATGAGAAACCTCACCTTCTCTACCTCCAATAGCCTTCGTCACTGCGTACCTTAATTGAAAAACCTCTGATGCGGTGATGTCGTCAAAATTGAAGTGGGTCCAGAAGGGCTGCATTGCGAATACTTTAAAACTTTATTTAAATTGGCCGCCTTGTTATTACGGATTAATATGATTCGTATGTCTTAAAAATCCATGTGTAGCAATGTTATTTGTCCAGGTAAGTAAGTGTTCCGTACCCTAAAATTTAGTAGATGCACCGTAGAAAGACCCGAAAGATTATGCTAATGATATAATTATATTGAATCAGCAATTACTCATTAATTTTACGTAGTAATAATTTATTGAACTTGACTTATAGTTTGAATTTTAAACTGATTTTTTCTAAAAATAATTTATACTTCACGAATAACATTCTTACCAAAGTTTATCAAAAACTTCCACGTGAAATAATCTCAGATGGCGGATTCCGCACAACGATTTTGATCACGAACACGTGACAGTAAGGGTGCTCTATATATACGTATATATACAAAAATATTCCTGTCCAATCAGGCCAGAAAAGAGGGTGGTCCGACCATCTCAATTTGAGGTGTTTCCCGCTGGTATGTTTTGCTGATTTTTTTGTGTATATTCGTCATCAAGTATAGTTCATCCATACCAAATTTGAGCAAAAAATTCAATCGGGAAGACAGTCAAATAATTTTTGAAATATAACTACGTTTTATATGTATATTCTGGCGCAATTATCTTTCAAAAATCATCTCACTATCTTCTCGATTGAATTTTTTTTCTCAAAATTAGTATGAATGAACTAGACTTGATGAATAGTGTACACAAAACATTTCAGCAAAAAATATCACCGGAAACCACTTCAAATTGAGGTGGCCATACCACCCTCCTGTCTGGCCTGGCCGGACATTAATACTACTGTGTATGTATGCATGTATGTATGCATGTATGTATGCATGGATGTATGCATGCATGTATGCATGGATGCATGTATTTATGCATGTATGTATGTATGTATGTATGTATGTATGTATGTATGTATGTATGTATGTATGTATGTATGTATGTATGTATGTATGTATGTATGTATGTATGAAAAATGAGAAGTAATTTTAATCATTAAAATGAAAAAATAAATGGATCATTTTTGTGAAATGAAGAAGATGAAGATCAAATTTAAGAGATAGATATATAGATAAAAGCTCTAAATTACTTCTTCTTAATATCTGAATATTTTCTGAATTTCTAAGTTTCTAAGTTAATTTACAAAGAATTGAATTAGCCCTATTTATACTAGCCAGACTTGGGGATGAATCATCTAGGAATGATTCTACACAATTTGCTGGCAGTATTAGATCTACCCATCTGTCTAACTATGATTACAAGGATATAAATTAGATGAGTAAGCTTATTAAAAGGATCAGAAGTAGCTTGGTGTCCTAATGACAAGGATGGACATTCACACTTGTCAATTTGGTGATTTTACAACACTCCCCCTTGAATGTTCATCCTTGAATACATATTTGTTATTTTAAAAATTTATTGTGAAAATTAAGGGGTAAAGATTACGACTTATAATGTCGTTGTATTTGGATGTACTGTCTCGTTAAAAACCTTGTCAAGAAAAACCCAGTGGGATAAAAACCTGATGAAGGGAAAAAGAGTGCAGTGCATTCAAATACTCCCCCTGAATTTAGTATACATTATGAAGACGTCGCATGCCGATTTTCTGTACAAGTTCCATGAACTTCTTCGGGGGTAAAGATTTGGTGAAGAGATCGGCTGGATTTTCACGGGATCTGATTTGTTGAATGTTGATCGTCCCTTCTTTCTCGAGATCATGAGTAGAGAAGAACTTTGGTGATATGTGTTTTGTTCTGTCTCCTTTGATGTAGCCTTCTTTAATCTGAGCTATGCACGCAGTGTTGTCTTCGTAGATCACAGTAGGATGACAAGTAATAGGTTTCATACCGCATTCGTTTTGGATGTGTTGAATCATAGACCGTAGCCACACACATTCTCTTCCGGTTTCATATAATGCAATTAACTCCGAATGATTTGATGATGTAGCTGTCAATGTCATCTCTCAATGAGATTGCGGTGTTACCATAAGTAAATACGTGCCCGGTTTGTGATTTCGCCTTTTGAGGATCTGATAAGTATCCAGTGTCTGCATATCCGATTAAATCGGCTTTTTCATCTTTGTGGTAGAATAGGCCGAGATCAGTTGTACCGCGAAGATAACGGAATATGTGTTTGATCCCGTTCCAATGACGCCTTGTTGGACATGAGCTGTACCTAGCTAATAAATTTACAGAAAATGCAATATCTGGTCTAGTATTATTAGCTAAATACATTAAAGCTCCTATAGCACTCAGATATGGTACTTCTGGACCGAGTATTTCTTCGTCGTCTTCTTGGGGACGGAATGGATCATCATGTATGTTGAGAGATCGAATGACCATTGGTGAAGTCAAAGGATGAGCTTTGTCCATATAGAATCTCTTCAAAACTTTCTCGGTGTAATTGGATTGATGGATGAAAATTCCATTCTTCAAATGCTCAATTTGAAGTCCGAGACAAAATTTGGTTCTCCCGAGATCTTTCATTTCAAATTCTTTCATGAGATATTTTGCAGTATTTTCAATTTCATCGGGAGTTCCAATAATGTTTAAGTCATCAACATATACTGCAATTATGACGAATCCCGAATTTGATCGCCGAATGAAAACACATGGACTAATCGGATCATTCTTGTATCCTTCTTTGAGAAGATATTCACTGAGACGATTATACCACATTCGTCCAGATGGTTTTAGTCCATACAATGACTTTTGTAGTTTAATGGAAAACATTTCTCGTGGTTTCGAGTTTAAACCCTCCGGGAACTTTCATATAAATGTCTGTATCGAGTGAACCGTATAAATATGCAGTCACTACATCCATTAGGCGCATTTACAGCCTTTCAAAAACAGTCATGCCAATGAGAAACCTTAATGTAGTTGCATACTCTACTGGAGAATAGGTTTCTTCATAATCAATTCCCGGCATTTGAGAAAACCCTTGGGCAACAAGTCGGGCTTTATATCTTACAATTTCATTTTTCTCATTGCGTTTACGCACAAATACTCATTTAAAGCCCACCGGTTTTACGCCTTTTGGTGTAGGGACTATCGGTCCAAAAACATCACGTTTTTCAAGTGATTTTAATTCAGCCTGAATAGCTTCATTCCATTTTGGCCAATCGTGACGTTTCCGACATTCTTCAATAGATGTTGGCTCATTGTCATTGTTTTCATTCATAACATTTGTGGCAACGGCATAGACAAATATCTCATTAATATCAATATCTTTACGATTCCATTGCATTCCAGTAGAAACGTAGTTTATTGAAATTTCATAATTATCAACGTTTCTATCATTATCTGGAATATCTTCCTCATTTAAGGAAGTTGGATCATCATTTGAGATATTTGTTTTGTCAATATCATTTTCTATGCCAATATTTTCAAATTGTTCATTTTCTTGTTCAGAAGGATGAACATCTTTGGCATCACAGATCGATTCCTGCCTTTTAGTTTTTCTTGGTTTTATATCTTTCGATCCAAGTGGCCTGCCACGCTTTTTGCGTATAGAAGAATCATTTGCAAAAGATTTTTCAGAATTCTCTGTTGGGATTTCGATTCTGGCAGGGGCATTCATGGCAGGAATATGTGACTTTGTCACTTTCTTTGTGTCTGTGAATGCATCAGGCAACTGATTTGCAACATTTTGTAAATGGATTATCTTTTGCACCTCTTGCTCACATATATTTGATTTTGAGTCAAGATGTGATAATCCTGTTGCATTCCATGTTATTTCTTTCGTACTTGGGTCCGATTTATTAGTTTCTCCCCCTAAG